CTGATCCAGCACGGGCCGTAGGCCAGGCCTGGCCAAAGAAACCAGCACCTCAACAGGCTTCCCTGAGCGTCACAGCTCGGTGATCGCGCCGGCCGGACACCACTGTGACGTCCGTTCCGGGCATTTGAACGCGACCTTCGGGGGCAAAGACATGGGCTCTATGGCTCAGACTGGACTCCTCTTGGCCCCTTCTGATGCCCTAGGCCACACCTGGGCCTTACCTGGGGTCCTAGGGGGCGGGCAGGGTTTGCCCCCCCCAACTGGCCCGGAGAACCTTAAGAAGAAGAAAATACCGCGTCGCGCTGTTCACATACACGTGCCTCTTGAATAGGTCAACTCGACGTGCACACAGAGAGCCAGGCATTCATTACATAGTGCCCTTCTTCTCCACGGTGACGGACTTTAAGCAGGTGATCACGTCGACATTCGAAGCCGACGAGGCCGTCATCGCCCGCTTCGCCGACACGTACGTCGGGATGATCTCCGTCTCACCTACCGCTTCAAGCTGCCCGCCGACCGGAAGGCGTGCGCAAGATGCACCGCGAGTTCCGCTCCGAGACCAATCTGGTCAGGTCGCTGCTGATGCGGAACGCGTCGAACGTGACGGTGATCACGGCGACACAGTACACCGGCGAGGAGTTCTTCCAGGGCGGCCTGAACCAGTTCAAGACCCAGCTCGCTGATCAGCTGCAGAAGGCATCTACCTCACCGAGCGCCGGCAGGTCGAGATCGAGCAGACCGACCTCGCGCCCGTCGGCCTGGCTTCCCCCGACGGCCGGCCCCAAGCTCGTGCGCGCCAAGCAGCTGGTGTGGAAGACGGTGCCCATTCTCCAGGACAATGGCGTGCCGCAGCGCGCCGAGAACCCGCTCTCCCAGTACGGGCTCGGCGCGGCGGAGGTGCCCGACTCGGGAGCGGTGCAGTTCATATGAAAACCGGGCCGGAGCGTGCATTTCATATGAGGAGGCGTGCACGGGGGCGTGCCCCCGGAGCACCGCTCCCGTGCGCTGTCATATGAGGAGGCGTGCACGGGGGCGTGCCCCCGGAGCACCGCTCCGGTGTCGGGAGGGGCTGCGCACGGGGGCCGGCAGTGCGTTCCCACGGGGGCTGCGTTCCCACACGAGGTGGCCACACCTTCCTACCACGACGAGTTCGGCGACGCTGCTGTCAACGTTCCGCAGCAGGGCCACAACATCAAACACAAGCGTCATCTCTTCAGCGCCTCATCCTCGCCCTACGCGCCGCGTGGGGCACAGCTGTGCGAATGGAGCCGACGAACCACCTCGGTCATAGTTACAACAAACAACCCGACGTGGACGCGTACAACATTGGCAGGGGCGGCAAGCGCTATTCCGGCGATGTCAAGGTCTGCCCCCTCACCAGCAGCGGGGAGCACGGTCGGAAGGGCGCTTTTGTCGCTTTCGGCAACACCGAATCATTCTACCGGAACATGGTCATGGGGCATGGGCCCTACTGCGAGGAGGGAGAGGGAGGTGAGGGGGAGGGAGAGGGGGGGGGGAAGGGAGGGTGAGGGGTACGGGGGCGAGGGCATGGAGGGGGAGAGGAAGAGCAAGGGCGAGAGGGAGCAGGGGACGGGTCGATGGCATACTAGGGGGGGGGAGGGTGGGGGGGCGGCGACCGCCGCATACCGTCCTATGGCGGCGAGTATCGCTACGCCAGGGAGGACAAGGACGTCGGCGTGCAACTCCTGCTTGTTCGAATCCTTCCGGGGGGTTCGGGAAAGGTGGGTTGGTCAAGATCCTTTTTGAAAGGGGGGCTAACGTGGCTTGCAAAATAAAACGGAGCCCGGGCCCCAGTACCTCTAGTGAAGGTGACTTTCTG